CTCTGGAGGACCTTTTAGTTGACCTTTGCCTTTCTAAGCAAGGGTAGAAACAATGAATCAGTGAATGCTGAGAACAGATGAGGGACAGATGGTTTCTGTGGCTTCAGTGGCCTGAGGCTTAATAAGCCACCTACATAAAAGATCTCCCTGTGATCCTGTCGGTCACAGGATCAGCTGAGAAGAAAACCTCAGAGGTCCCGTAGAACCCATGGGTCCTTGTCTCCTAGTGAGATGGGTGGGGAGCAATTGTCATCACCCCTTGATGACCAGGGAGATATTAGGGGGTACTTTAGGGAGACTGACCCAGACACCCCTTGAATGAGCCTAGCATCTCTGGATTAAATCATTCAATTATTCCTCAGAAGAAACAACGCAGCGGCTACGTTTGTAAGGCTGAGATATGGCCATGACCACATCTCCATGTATTGTTCCACTAAGTGCTCATTGACTGGGAACTGTAAACTGGGAGATTATGTGTTTTTTTCAGGAGGAGGTAGGAGCCACCTACTAGGAAATGGAGGTTGCATTTGGAGGGTGGTGAACAATTCTTTTGTATTTTTAAAAACCCAGCCAAAATCTTTGTTCTTACATGTGATCATATTTATGATGAAAATTTATCATGAAAATTCTTATGACTAGAATAATAATTCAATGTGAGCAATAGTCTCAGAAAAAAGAAAACAACGAAAATGTCGGTCTTTCTCAGCCAATCCAGGGTCCTGGTTGCTGTGTGGCTTCTCATGCTCTGCATACAATTCTGGAAGCAGACACTGACCTCATTTGGCTTCTTTGGAGTCAAAAAACCAGCCCATGATGCCTCAACACAGGCTTTCCATTGTCTTTCCCAAAAGGATAACCTCTGGCAAAATCTAAAAAGCCCGAGGGTTAGAGGACAAGGACCTGGGTGATAGGGGAAAGTCCTCCGGGGCTCTCACATCTCTTGCTATTTCTGGAGGGTCCAACAATCTGTGCAATCCAAAGGTTGAAAGAAAAGAGGAAGGGGATGGATGAACACTGAAACCTGATCCTGTCAAGTTTTCTCAGACTTTCCGGAGGTGCCAGAGAGGTAATCTGCTTCACCTGTTCTAAGATGCAATGCCCTTCCTCCCGTTTCCATGTCTATAAAGTCAGAGTGCTTTTTGTAACTGGCAGCATCTGAGGTCTGTGCTGAAGTTCCTCCTGTTCTGAGATTCTTCTGCTTTCCTGGTGTTGCATAAACCAACACCGAAGCTTACATTCTACTCTGTCAGTGCCTCTGAAATGTGGTCAGTCTTATAGCTGTGGACTTTAGCAGGTGACCCGGAAAAGCAGAATCCTTCTGGTTAGCTGTCACCTCACCTGGAGTGTTTGTCCTGCAGCCAGGGCCCAGGCACAAGCTTTGCCTCATCTTGGACCATTTTTTCCCTTCCTGAAGCATCTCCATGTGGTCTTTCTTCTATTCCTGCAATGCTGGAAACTCCTTATGTGTCTAAAGTTCCTCTTCTAATGGGACACAAGTCAGCTTGGAGTAGGGTCTACCTTGGTGGCCTCATTTCAGTTAATTCCCATTTAAAGATTCCATCTCCAAATGCATTCTGATACTGAGGTTAGGGCATTAACACATGAATTTTGTAAGGCAGATGGGAGGAACAGAATGCCGGGAGCCATTACTGGAGCTGGCATGCAATATCTGCGGTGCTCTTAAGCTGCATTACTTCTGGACATTTGTGAATCTAGTGGCCTGCATTAGCCAGAACATTTCAGGGGTGGAGGGGTTTTCTTCCCAGGTCTACTAGCTGGACTATCTCCCCTGATTCAGTTCAGCAAACGTGTTCAATGCTCACTGCCTACAGACCACAGAGTAGGGAGGCAGGAAAGAGCAAAACAGTATGCTTTTTATATGTTTGCTCCATGAAAACAAAGCAGGGGCTACACGTGGTGCATCCTTGAGAAAACTGGACTGAGAAATCAGACACACAGGTGTGGGTGTCCAGGACAGAGCCTGGAATGAGCAGCGGGGGCCTCAAGGAAGGTGGCAGACGGTCCAGGCTAATTCTAGGAAAGGAGAATTCTGAGTCAGTCTTTCTTCGAAGCATGTGTAGGCTCAGACTAGAGTTTCTCAGATGCGCCCCTTGTTTATAAAGAGGCAGTAATATCGAAAGCTTGCAGACTATAGTTTTGAGGTTGAGACAGTACACCTAAAATCACTTGGCAAACTCCTAAGACTTTTATAAGTCTGGTTTCGTCACTTTATATCACTATTATGTTGCAGAACCATGAGTTTGGTCTGACATTAGAACAGGTGGAGGAAGGGGACACAGGGAGCTGAGGGTCATGGGAGCAGACACAGGGAATTGAAGATCATGGTAGATACCACCGGCCACACTAGGAGCAGGACCAAGGCAACAAGAAGGGGAGCAGAGAGATCTGGGGTAGATCCAGGCCTAATAGTAAATTCCTGTTGTTCTGGTGACTAAGAAGCCTGAGGCAGGAGGATCACTAGCTAAAGGCCTTTCTGGGTTACAGAGTAAGTTCAAGGCTAGCTTGAGTGACTTAGTAAGACTGTCTCTAAATACAAAGAAAAAGAGCACTGGGAGGTGGCTTGGAAGTTCTGCTTTGCAGGTACCAAGCCTTTAGTTCAATCGCCCCAGTGCTGAGAAAGAAAGCAAATGAGAGTGAAGAGTTCCTCTAGACTTCAGTGAATTGCCTGGTGTTTCTGTGTAGCAGGTTCAATATATGCTGATTGAATAAATTAATGTCAGAAGCAAGCAGCTGCCTGGTCAATATGTACATACAGGCATCCTGCTGTGTGCTCCAAGAGGGAAGACGAGACGAGTTGGTTTTGCTGAATATGGCGTCAATTTGACACGATGCTTCACTGCCTTTGAATTAGGAAACTTGCTGCAGGATGACATTCCATGTCACCCCACACTGAATCCCCAGAGATCTCAGAGTGGGACGTCATCCGGCTGCTTCTTGCCCATTTTCATCTCAAATGGCATTGACTGGTTGTTTTCACCTCCACCTGGGTGGCAGAGTACCTGGAGGTCACCGGGCTTTGTGTGGACTGCCTCAGAAGGCCAATACATTTTTCTGCATCCTGTGGAACAGGAATGCCTTTGTTAGCAGCGTTGAGACTGCAGTGTGTGTGTGTGTGTGTGTGTGTGTGTGTGTGTGTGTGTGTGTTGTTTTAATCACAATAACCCAAGCCAAGCCTGCAGCCTCCCAAGTCCGCTCTTGAGCCCCCTTCTTTGTTTTCTCTGTGAGTGGTTCCCCTTTCTTTGTTTTCTATGTGAGTTTTGCTGCCAGTTTTCCAGAGCCCTAGGGAAATCATGAGCTGCCATAGATTTTTTTCCCCCACCTTCTCAGCCTCTTTTCCTCTGCTGTGCCCAACTACTCAACTACCAGGCTTCATGACACCAGTTTCTAAGGTCTGTTTGTATCCACTTCCATGACTTCCACTTAAGTGACTGCCATCTGTTAGCTGAAGTATGGTTACCCCATTTTGCTCTATGCTCTCTTCCACCCCAAAAGGCCAGTGAACTTTCAGTAAGCCCACTTGAATGGTATCATTCTTTCACTCGTGTTTCCGTGGAGACTGAAGCTGACAAGACCCAGTCATGTTGGCTTAAGAAGGACCCTCTGGCTTAATTTTTCTCAACCTCATTGAGACACGCTACACTTTTAGCTAAACAGAATCATTTGCTGTTGAGACTATGCTATTTTCTCCTTGGATAAAACATCTTCCAGCATTTAGTTGCTTAAGAAGCTCTTCCTACTTCATCTCAGGAATGCGGTGGGGTATGTTCTGTGGAGCCTCATCATTTCCTGCTCAGATTCCTGCAGTGGCTTTCTTCAGGTGTCCTGTTTCTGCTGTGGACCTTGCCAATCCGCTATCTACTATGGTCAGCTTCATCACTCTGCAAGGCAGATCTGAATGTGTAGGAGGTTCAATAGATGTTGGCTTTTCAGGCCCTCTGTGATCTCACCTATATAGCTGCTCTGATTCAACTCATGCCGAGACTCTTTAGGCTTCTGCTCTCTCAAATCTCTTTTAAGTCCTCTAATATGGCATTTGCTGCTTTCTGCCTGGACCCTACCCATAATCTCCATCCCTATAGGTGTCTAACTTCTACATATACTTCAAGTCTCAGTTGACTGTCACTTTCATCAGAAAGCTTTGCTTGAGTACATAAAGTAGGATGTGTATCTATCTCCCATTCCATTTCCTTTTCCCTACTATCACAAAGTTAGCTGCTTTATTAATTGGCTATCTCTTTCTTTCTTTCTTTCTTTCTTTCTTTCTTTCTTTCTTTCTTTCTTTCTTTCTTTCTTTCTTTATATAACTAAAGATTGAACCAATGGTCTTCTGTACCACTGAAATATATCCAAACCTCTCTTTTTATTTTATTTTATTTTTTTTAGTTTTGAGACAGGGTTTCATTAAGTTGTTAGGCTGATTTTGAACTTACTCTGTAGCCCAGGCTAGTCTTGAACTTTCTATTCCCCTGAATCAACATCTGGAGCAACTGGAATTACAGGTGTCTGCCACTGAGCAGAGTAGCTATTATTTCTTCTAGAATGTAAGATACAAAGCCATGTATATTTTGTTTGCTCATATTTTCTAGCTACATATAAAATGATGATTAATAAATGTTAATAGCATCAAGAATTAATGGGTTCCCATTTCTATTTCTACCACCAGACGCTGGAACTCTTATCTAATTTACCGTGCATATGAGTAGGTTGAGCAAATGAAAGAATGGATGAGTAGTTCTTTTGGAGCTTTTTTATTTTATTATACTTGAAAAATGTATATTTTTTCATTTATTAAACCAACTGCTAGGAGAACAGAAGCAGGCCCCAACATTGTAATATTACTGGATATGAGCCTACAGACCGTAGGTTGGAGAATTCTCTACTCTGCTAGCTCTTGGGTTTTCCACAGGGATCTCTCTACGGGAGGAAGCATGCTTTGGAAACCCTCACACTCCTTTTCTGTGTTCATTTCTCCTGGCCAGAGCCTTGCCACCCAGTGGCCCCGCCGCCCCAATGGATCCCCTGAACCTTTCCTGGTACGAGGATGATCTGGAAGGACGGAACTGGAGCCGGCCCTTCAATGGGTCGGAAGGAAAGGCAGACAGGCCCCACTATAACTACTATGCCATGCTGCTCACCCTCCTCATCTTTATCATCGTCTTTGGCAATGTGCTGGTATGCATGGCTGTATCCAGAGAGAAGGCTTTGCAGACCACCACCAACTACCTGATAGTCAGCCTTGCTGTGGCCGATCTTCTGGTGGCCACACTGGTCATGCCCTGGGTCGTCTATCTAGAGGTAGGTCTGGCTCCCTGCTTGCTCCAGGAGGACCTTATACCTAAATCTAGATTCTTAAGTCCCCAGTGGTTTCTGCCTGTCCCCCCAGGTGGCCTTTCCCTCTCCTCTGGACTAGTTTTTCTCTTCATGGAACACACAGGGATCGTGTTTATGACTGTCATACACAGTGTGCTTCCTAAGCACAGGGCCCCCTGGTAAGTATTTTATACACAGCAGCTCTGGAGAGCGATACCACTAACACCATCTTGCAGATAATGGGCCAGCTGGTCAGAGAAGATAAATGTATATTCAACTCACACAGCTGGAAGGTCCAAGCTAGAATCCTGTCTTGCCTTGGAATTGCTTCAGTAGATTGTACTAGAAGTGGGACTAAGTGGTGAGAACCCTTAAGCAGGGGGCAATGTCTGTGCTCCACGGCCTAAAAGCTGTCATCACTTTCTCCCCATCTCAGAAATGGGGGCTGCTATTTTGTGCTGTTCTTATCTCCCATTTTCAGTGTATTCTCGTGCCTGTATCTTGGTAGAGGCAACAGTGGGCAGTCCATGCTGCAGCCCCTTTCCAGGGAGGATAGTGCAGCCTCCAAGGACTGAGCCAGCTTCAGTATATCAAGCTGGAGGGTAGGCAGCACCCTGCTGAGGGCCTTGTGGCAGACACATTGCAGACATTGATGGAGAAACTCTGAGAACTGACACTTCTCTGCTTAGTTCCTAGAATAGGAACTAAGAGAAGCGGTCCATCTTGACTCAAGCCTCACAGTAAAGGGAAAAGCTGCTGGTAGAGAAATCCCAACATGGGTCCTTTCTCCCTGAGGATACTCTCCAGATCTAGCAAGAAGATATGGGGGACTGGGAAATTCCAGAGCCACAAGTGAGGTGACACTTTGTCTACCTAGGAGTCTGGGGTGGTGTGTCCAGGGCCGAAGGCAGTCTCAAGTCTGGGTATGAGGGAAGATTACTGGGTATTAAGGATTCTTGTCATTGTTGTTGTTGTTGTTTCTGTTGCTATGATAAAATACTCTGACAAAAAGCAACTTAGGGCAGAAGTGGTTATCATGGCTCATAATTCCAAGTTACAGACCATTGTGGGGACAAGGGAAGACAGTTACTTGAAGCAGATGGTCACATCTTGTCTACAGTCAAAAGCAGATAGAAATAAATGTGTGTGTTTAATGCTTGGCTTATTCTCTCAACTCTTATAGAGTCTGGAACCCTGCCCATGGAATAGAGTCACCCCCATTTATGGTAGTTCTTCCTACCTCAATTAACCCATTAATACAACACAACACAACAACACAAAACAAAAAACAACAACTAAAAACCTCTCAGGCATTGACACAGGCCTTCCCAACACTCAGTGAGACTCTTTTTCCAGGTTGCATCAGGTTGACAATTGAAACTAAACACCCACAGGCCCCCACCTCCTTTCCTCCATGTCCCTCTTGTTTGTGAGGGCACAGAACTTCTCCCTGAAGAACTTTTTGATTCTCATGCTTGATCTGCCCCTGCTCCATTCCAAAGAAGGATCCCTACACCTCTAGAGTCCTATTCATGCAAGAGCGATGAGGAAAATGGGACCGCAAGTGACCTTTGTGTCCCCTGGCTTCCTTGCTTATAAGTTAGAAATAACAACAGTACCTGCCATGTAGAAGAGTTTGTAAATTAATTGACTCACTATATGAAAAAGTGATTAGAATGGTCCATGGCTCCTACTATATGACAAGGCTGATGAAAGTGACATAGTGACAGATATTCAGCATCCCTTGACTTAGAGAAGATTTCCATTTCCCCTTTCCCCTTCTTTTCTCTCTTCATGTACAGGCAAAGAGACACCCTCTTTCCAGAGTGAAACATATTCTGTCCAGGGCTATGACATGGGTTTTGTTAGCTTCCAGCCTCCATGTGTTTATTAGGCTGCAAGATAGAGACAAATCTCTACAGAAACTGTATTATTATCTCTGGGAACCTCATTCCCTCATGAGGATGAATTATTCACAAATTTTCACCATTTTTTTCAGAGATGAAGCTGAGTGCCTTAAGAGGCAAGGTTCAGAAAGCCTCTCCTGGCTCCACCAATTTCCACTTGGATAGCTAAGGGAGAGAGTCTTAAGAGAGGGCAGGGAGGGATCTCCTACTTCCTGGGGACTTCAAGGTCTCATTTCATTCATAGTAAGAGTCACTGTGAGCCTTTTCTAGAAGAGGTGTGATTGCAAAGAGGCTTCAGAGTTATTCGTTCACTTATTCAACACTTATTGAACAATTTATCCTACTCCTGCCTTGGGCCTGGGGTCTAAGGAATTTTGTGCCACGAATAAAAAACAAACAAACAAACAAACAAACAAACAAAAACAATGAAAAGAAAAAAAAACCAACAACCCTGAGGGCTTAGACAATTCAGTCAGCCTGACGCAGCATGAATAGATCTCAGTCTCAAACTGGGAACTTGTACCCAGGCTGGAAATATTGAGAAGGCTTGCAGCAAGGAGGACTAGCCATCCCCAGCTACTTTCCAAGAGAAGCTGCTCTGAGGATTATAAAAAACAACATCTTCCTTCTTCACTAGGGCTCCGGACAAGCTAGAGAAGAATAAGTTTGAGAGATCCTCAAAGGAGGGGCTGTGTGGACCATTCCCCTCTGTATTCAGAAATCTAGGCCTGAATGTGGCACACACTAAGTTTCTAAATAGGCATTTGTCAAAAAGAAGAATGGAAGGTTGGAGAGAAGCAGAGCAGAGAAGATGGGCAGGAGGTCCTTGATATCTCAGACCTGGGTCCTCAGGAACATGAAGGCAGCCTTTCAGATACCAGTCCCAGGAGGACTCAAAGCTATTGTGAACCAGATGGGCCCAGAGGTGCCTTGAAAATAAACTGTAAAGCATGGAAGCCCTGTCCATGCTTTACAACTGGATATCCAGTCTTTGGCTCCCACAGAGCAGGAACAGGCTTCTATGAACCCCTATGTATGCAGGAAAACCGCTGCTTTGTCCATGGAAGGCCGAGGCTACTCTACCGCCCCTCATGGAGCTTACATGGCACTGTTTGGTTTTGTGTCTGGGAAGGGAAGAGAGGGCAGTCAGTGTTGGTGAGGAACAACAATACAATTAGTATGGGGCTCTCCTATGAGTAGAAGCCAAAGATTTCCTCTACAGTTAAGGCACTCCAGACTTGCAGAGTTAGCTAACCCTGGGAGGGATAACTTCACCCTGGATCTGTGAGCTGCCCTTCCACCCCCTGCCAAACAAAACAGTGACTATAGTTTGTCTGTGTGGTGAATAAATGCCAAATAGACAAGACAAACAGAATTTTGGAAGACACATAGATATCATTAGGTAAATCACCGAGGTGTTTTACAGATTAAGGTTCAAAGTTGAGGCACTCAGGTAAGGTGGGTCATCTTTCTTCTAACATAAAGTTCTTCACACGAAGTAGATCTCCATGTCTGAAAGAAGAGAGGCAAGGTGTACAGGTCCCAAGTTTTCACAGGAACTATGTGATCCCCACTGCTACTCAGCTGGTGACCTGTAAGATTCCTGTGCTGGACCGTAGGGAATGCCCCCCAGACAGGACCTAGAACCACCTAGGAGACAAACCTCTGGGTATCTCTGTGAGGGAGTTTTTAGTATTAAGTTACCTAAGCTGGGAAATGCCATTCTGAATGCAGGCATGGCTATTCCATGGGGTTGAAGACATGGGCCGAATATGAAGGAAAAATCAGGATGAACTCAAGCATTCATCTTTCTTTGCTTCCTGACTGATGACTCAATGTGACTGGAAGCCTCAAGCTCCAACCACCACACCTTTCCACCATGCTGGACAGTATCCTAAAATCGTGAGCCAAAATAAACCCGTCATTACATGTCTTTTTGTCAGGTGTTTCATTACACACAGAGAGAAGTCGCTAATACAACCTCGAGGGCCATCCTCTGAGATTGTTTCCGAACCTTCCCCATTAGGTATGAGCCACGGGTAAAATAATTACCCCACCACCCCGCTTTCCACGAATGTCATTGTTTTGTTTCCAGGTGGTGGGCGAGTGGAAATTCAGCAGGATTCACTGCGACATCTTTGTCACTCTGGATGTCATGATGTGCACAGCAAGCATCCTGAACCTGTGTGCCATCAGCATCGACAGGTGAGGGTGGCCATGTTGGGTGAGCGGATCCTGGTTACTCACTGTTTTGCTGCATGCCTCACCTCTTCTCAGGGTTAGGTTCTGTAATGACTGGCTATGTGTGTGTGTCTGTGTGTGTGTGTGTGTGTGTGTGTGGTGTGTGGTGAGTATGGGGGTGGTGTGTGTGTGTGTGATGTGTGTGTGCTATGTGTGTATGGTATGTGGTAAGTGTCCCTCCATTCACAGCACGTTTCCTGCGTACATAGGGGTTCACAGAAGCCTGTTCCTGCTCTGTGGGAGCCAAAGACTGGATATCCAGTTGTAAAGCATGGACAGGGCTTCCATGCTTTACAGTTTATTTTCAAGGCACCTCTGGGCCCATCTGATTCACAATAGCTTTGAGTCCTCCTGGGACTGGTATCTGAAAGGCTGCCTTCGTGTTCCTGAGGACCCAGGTCTGAGATATCAAGGACCTCCTGCCCATCTTCTCTGCTCTGCTTCTCTCCCACCTTCCATTCTTCTTTTTGACAAATGCCTATTTTGAAACTTAGTGTGTGCCACACTCAGGCATGTGTGTGAATGTCTGTGGGGTTGTGGTGGTGTGTATGCATGTGTGTGTGTATGTGTTTACTAAGCTGTATTCTTAGAGCCTTTCACTTACATACATGGACATGCCATAAGGCTTCCAGAGGCCCAGCACTTCTCTCTCAGAGGACTGTTGGAAGGTGAGATGTTATTGAACGAGGAATGAGTGCTTGGCAGAGAAATGTGAGGGAAGATTAAAAAGGGTTGTTATCATTATCACTTATTGCTAAATGGAGACTTGCTCCGAGGGACAGCAGTACCAGTTAACAAATTCTTTTACCTTTTGCAGTCTAATATAGTAAGGGTGGTTTCAAATGTGCAAAGATCCATGAGAAAGTCTACAATCCAGGTGGGGAAACTGAGTAGTGAATGGCTTAAGAGGACATAGTAGCTGACGCTCATGAGTGCTTGTGTTTGAAAGTGGGGACCACGGGAAGAGCTGAGTGACTTAGGCAGGCTTCACAGAGTCAGGCAGAAGGAGCATCTGTGGTGCATCTTGTACAGTGAAGGGCTTTATGGCCTGCAACCCAGACTTACAATCCCCGCCTTTGCAGGTACACGGCCGTGGCCATGCCCATGCTGTACAACACTCGCTATAGCTCCAAGCGCCGAGTCACTGTCATGATTGCCATTGTCTGGGTCCTCTCCTTCACCATCTCCTGCCCACTGCTCTTTGGACTCAACAACACAGGCAAGTGTGGCCTTTGTCTGGGGCTCGGATGGCTCCATCACTCTGTTCTGTTCAGGATAGTGAGTAGCTGAGTCTTTGATACAGATACAATGGTAGCCTATTCCTACCTCAAAGGGGGCTGGATGTATTGCCCAGATCCAGTTCAACTTAGAATTGTTCCAGATTGTGAAGGAGAGGAAACAGTGTCTCCAGGCACATTGGGACTTGGTGAGAAGTAGGGGAAATGGCTGAAGAGAAGGTCTGGCCACTTCCAATCTTATTTAATGTGTCGAAGCAAGCCAAACAGCCTTACAAGCTGCACATGTGTTTGTATGCTCATGTATATAACCAAGGAAGTTACTCCATCCACATCTGATAGTGGTATTTGGGGGATGAGGTTGCAACCCACTGGGTCAGCTGAGCCAAGGTCCCATGCTGACTGGAGCAAGAAAAGTAGAAACAAGTAGGAGGTGAGCCAACCTCAAGCCCCTTTTTGTAGGAGGCAGAGTTAGGAGCAGAAGAAGGACAGAACTTTTATAGTATGGAGCATCTGCTCTGCAGAGAGACAAGTGCTATACTGGTACCTCTGTGGGGCAAAGACAGAAGCCTTGGAAGTTTGTAGTTCAGACTATAGGTGCTACAGGAATTCCCATTAGTGGGAAGAAGGCTGATTATACTTGAATTAATTCGTAATGGACTTGATACCAACAGATATCTGGTCTACTTGGAAGGGACTATGGATGCATATTAAGCACTAGAACACAGGTGGGTTAGTTCAGTAAGTAGGTGAAATTATTTCATTGTCAAAATTATGGACTAGCAGGACTTCTCCTCCCCACCCCCAATTATATATGAAAGGATAAAGTAATGGCTTCTCTTTTTTTTTGAAAATACATTTCCTTGTGTCATATCTTCTGAATCATGGCTTTCATATGTGTGTAGAAATGACAAAAACAATGAACAAGTAACTAGAGGAGGGTAATGAAAAACTTGAAAGCAGTTAGCCCCAGCTTTACTTCTTACTGTTAGCTGGGGATTTCATACCATTTTATTGTAACTGAGCATTCATTTATATCTACCATTTCCAGGCAACACTGAGTACGTAGTCTGTAAGATTGTCTTTGATGCCCACCAAGGATGTGCGTGTCCTCTGGTGCTGCTATGGCCTGGTGGGCCTGCTGATACATTGCCCATCTGAGTTTCTCCTTTCCCCTAGACCAGAATGAGTGTATCATCGCCAACCCTGCCTTCGTGGTCTACTCCTCTATCGTCTCGTTCTACGTGCCCTTCATCGTTACTCTGCTGGTCTATATCAAAATATACATCGTCCTCCGCAAGCGCCGAAAGCGGGTCAACACCAAGCGCAGCAGCCGCGCGTTCAGAGCCAACCTGAAGACCCCACTCAAGGTCTCAGATCTCAGCCCCAGCAAGGGTCCCTACCTTTATCAAGAGAGCTAATACTACATTTGGGCAGGGCCTGGAACACTGCAGCAAGGTGGAGGTCTAGGCTGGAAAAGCTTCCTGGGTCTGGGTGAGGGAGTGGACATCAGTGGAGTGACAGAATCCTTAGAAAAGGAAGCTGGGGTCCATCGTGGGAGCTCAGGAGGATTCTCGATGTGAAGATCTTGTGGCTGCATAAACCAATTCTTTCTTGATCTGGTTCTTAGTTTGTCTCTTCCTCCTCATGTAGTTTTACCTTTCTCATTGTGACCTCCATGCTTCTTTTCCCTGCCTCCATTTTCTTTGTACTATTCTTTGTACCTGCTATGTTCTGCCCTTCCTTCCATGTAATCCCTGCCTCTTTTTTCTACTTTCTTCCTCAGCCCCAAATCTTTCCCTGTTTTTTTTTCTTTTTTCTTTTTAAATCATATGATCTCTCTCTTCCACTCAGCACTCTACAATAAAGATAGTATGGGGGTACAGAAGAAAAACAAGAACTTATGAGTTAGATGCATCAGGTCCAAATCCTGATGTCATCGCATTTTTTTATGTGTGTCCTTGGGAATGTTGCTTAGCTTCTGTGAGCCTCGGTTTCCTTGTCTGTTAAATGGGAGTCACATGCAGTTGACAGGGTTGTCCTGAAGATTTGATGTGAGAAGGAATGTGAGCATGTGCCTAGCATGATTCTGGGTAGGTTCTCTTCAAAGAACAAGGTCCTTTGGCCTCTCGCCTTGCCCACTTCCTCTCATCACAGCACCTGCCTTTACTCTTGCCCTGACTGTCTCTGTGGCCCACACTTCTCTAGCTGAGGAGCCCCGGCTCAGAGTCTGAGTTCTCCATGGACTCCCTTGTCTCGGGTTTCTAGCCCCTGGCCACCTCTCCCTCCACTGTCTTGTGTGACCCGTGTGCTGGCTCACTCCACAGGGCAACTGTACTCACCCTGAGGACATGAAACTCTGCACCGTTATCATGAAGTCTAATGGGAGTTTCCCAGTGAACAGGCGGAGAATGGTAAGTGTTCAGGTCAGAGACTCAATGCTATCTTTCTGTTCCCAATGGAGCCCACAATCCCTGACCCTGGGACTGCAATAGCTATTTCAAGGGGGAGAAGTGCCTCCTGGCACCCCTCCTTTTCCTCAGCTAAGAGCACATTTACCTTGCACACATCTGAGCATGGGTGCAGTGAGACACCTCAATTCTGCAAGTCACAGATACATAGAAGCTTGTTGGAAGAAATGAACTATTCATATAACCTAGTAAAAGTGACAGTGTGGGCTAGTTCTACTTCTCAAACACCTGCCATGCTTTCTGTTATCTCATCAAATCCTCATGTGACCCTGGGAAGTCAGTCTTACTGGTCTTTAGCTCACAGATGAGGAAGCCGAGGCTCAGAGAGTATAGGGTAGTGATGGAGTGCATATTAGAGCCCAGATCTATGTAACCTCTGAATCCACGCTCAAGTCATTCCATTCAGCATCTGCCACCTTCTGGATAGGAAGCTTCTGAAGCTGTGGATTGGTGGCTGTCGGTGGGGTGGGGGTGGAGCAGAGCAGCTGGGGTGGACCGGAAGCATATCCTGAGAGTAGAACCAGTAAGTGCAGACTCATAGCACCAGAGTTCAAGAGGCAGGGCTTTCATCCTCCTGCTGAGGAGGGTTATATGAAGTCCAGCAATGCGTCTTTTAGACAGCAGGGTTCCCACAACTTGCCTTCATTGCAAGGACAGGACTGTAATGAGCTATTTGTGAAGCAGCTACTAAACAGATCTCAGTTTATATTCAAGGCCGCAGCCCATCTTCTCCATCTGGGCACACAGACCGTATTTTGGAGGATGATCTAAGATTACCAAAGCCTGGGACATGGGAGTCTAAAGAGGAACTGGGAAACCATGTGTGGATCCATGCTGGACCTTCCAGGTCAGCCTGGCAGGGGAGATACGGAACTTCCAGATCAGCCCCGGGCTTCTGGATCAGGCTAGTCATCCCACATGTCCGAGCTGGTGGAGGAGCCTGAACTCTAGCAGAGAGGGAAGGACGGGGAACATGCTTTTTATGTAGTTGGAACTGAGTTCTTGAAGGTGAGACAAGACTGAATGTTAATCAGGAAGATTGTCTTAGCAGCCAAATTGGTGTCTGACCCTTAGGGCTCAGGAAGTGTCACTCATGTTACAAAAAGAGAAGTTCCCTGCTGCTAGCAACCACGTGTTTCTAGGGGATTGAGGCTTCAGGGGATGGCTCTGGGAAATGGGCCAGGAGTGACTGCCGTGAGTCTGAGTGCTATATTCAGATGGTTCCTGCCTCCCCGTGATGGCTCTCTTTGTGTTCCTGACAGAGGAGCCCTGTTGTTTGCAGGAGTGTGCAGAGGGGCAGGAAGACCAAAGGAGGCTTGGTAGCTTCTGCCCAGGAATTTCACCCTAAGTTTTCTGCCTCTACCACAGGACGCTGCCCGCCGAGCTCAGGAACTGGAAATGGAGATGCTGTCAAGCACCAGCCCACCAGAGAGAACCCGGTACAGCCCCATCCCTCCCAGTCACCACCAGCTAACTCTCCCCGATCCATCCCATCATGGCCTCCACAGCAACCCTGACAGTCCTGCCAAACCAGAGAAGAATGGGCATGCCAAGATTGTCAACCCCAGGATTGCCAAGTTCTTTGAGATCCAGACCATGCCCAACGGCAAAACTCGGACCTCCCTTAAGACGATGAGCCGCAGGAAGCTCTCCCAGCAGAAGGAGAAGAAAGCCACTCAGATGCTTGCCATTGTTCTGGGTGAGTCGGCTCTGGCTGATGGCTGCAGCTGTGCCATGCCCAGCCCTGGCTGGAGAAAGGGAATGTCCCCGCAGGTCCCAGACTCTGCCTTGCTCACTGTGGCTAGAGGGTCATGAGTTGGGTACTTCTTCAGTCACAGGCCACACTCCTTACAGGCAGTCAATAGTAAAATATCCTGTTGGGCCTATTGTACAGAAGGGTTTTGTGTAGTTATATAACTTGGCCATGCTCAACTTAAGCAGTTTGACCCTGTGTCTGAGTTTCACTGGTCTCTGGTAAGACACCAGAGTAAGTTGTCTCTCAGGGTTTTTGTCATAGTCAGGATAACACAGGGTTGGGAAAGCATCACATATGTGTGTTACTGAATGTTTTGTTGCTATTACTGCTGCTGAGGAATTGACACATACACATTTTCACTCAACTTAAGTCCCTGTGGAACAAAACTATGAAAAATAAGCTAAGTCTTTGAGAGGAAGCTACAGATTTGCTTGGGCAGGACTTTTGAATAAAGTTCTTCTATGGGCTGGAGAGATGACTCAGCTGGTAAAGGCGCTTGCCGCCACCAAACCTGACAACCTGAGCTCAATCCTTCAGTCTCATATGTCTGACTGAGAGAACCAATTCCCACAAGTTGCCGTCTGATTTTCATGTGGCATGTGGATGCTTTCCACACCCTCATACACACACACACACACACACACACACACTAAAGAGCAATTATTATTTTTTAACTTATAGAAAATTGTGTGATGAAGGACAAAATCTAGAAAGTAGACTGATTCAGGTCATTGCGAAAGGAGGGCAGGGTGTGAGTTTGCTATTCTCATGATACTGGGACCCCATTTGATGGTGTGGAAATCTGGGCACATGCATGGAGAGGGCCTAATGCCCTCCTGTGCAGAATCACAGGCCCCAGAAGTGTAAAACATATTTGAGGTGTGGCCAGATGGGTTTGAAGCCAGGTGCTACATGGCAGTCACCGGTTCTGCTCTAGGGTCTTAATACTCCAGGACACTGCTCTACCCCTAAAATATCTCCTACCCTTGCATGCTGAGTGTACAACTGGAGCTAGTGCTCTTGAAGCCTTCCTGAGTAAGACAGCATGGTCTCCAGGTAGGACCAACAAACGGTGTGCCTTCCAACACTGAACAGTCTTGGGAAAGGCTGGAGCAAGGGCCTTGCCATATGAGGAGCCTAGACAGATGGGAATCAGATCTCAGTTGTGTCACTCAATAGCAAAATGGTCTCGGGGATGTTGTGTAGCCAAAATGAACGTTTGTTTCCCATTGAATTCAACAGGCCATCGTGAAAACTAAGTAAGATGGATATTTAGCTTTCTCTTTTCCTAAACTTTATGTCCTGCACTGCTGAGAACAAATTCTTCCTGTTGTCATCAGCTTGAGGATAACATTGCCCCCAATGGTGACTGGGCAGTGATCAATGGGGACTTGGTGTGCCCATTTGCAGAGACAGACTAGGGTAAGAAGGCTCACATCTCCAATTTGTTTTCAAGCCACTTTTTTCCCTAGCAGTTAGATACCATACTAATTTAGCAAACTGAGGAAAATGAGGCTGGGGGAGGTGCAGGGACCCTTCCCCTACAGATGAGTGTTAATGTTTAGATCTGAGCCAGGGGGTTCCCTTTGCTACCACCAGCAGTTAGCAGTCTCGGTGCCCACAGGGAAGCCTGTGGCAGAGCAGACAGGAGGACAAGGAGCACGGTCCACCCAGGCCAGTTTCTCCTTGGCCCAGTGCCAGCCTGACCCTGCCCTCTCCCCAGGTGTGTTCATCATCTGCTGGCTGCCCTTCTTCATCACGCACATCCTGAACATACACTGTGACTGCAACATCCCGCCAGTCCTCTACAGCGCCTTCACATGGCTGGGCTATGTCAACAGTGCCGTGAACCCCATCATCTACACCACCTTCAACATCGAGTTCCGCAAGGCCTTCATGAAGATCCTGCACTGCTGAGTCTGCCCCCGCCCTCACAGCAGCTGCTTCCCGCCTTCCTGCCCAGGCAGGCCGGACTGCACCCCTGCGAGCTGTGGGCAGAAAGGCCCAGACAGACTTGGCCTTCTCCCGACCCAGCAGGCCCTGCAGTGTTAGCTTGGCTCGGTGCCCCTCTCTGCCCACACATCCTCATCCTGCCGGGGTAGGGCCAGGGAGACTGGTATCTTACCAGCTCTAGGGTTGGACCCATGGCTCAGGGCAGCTCACAGAGTGCCCCTCTCACATCCAGACCTTGTCTCCTTGGCACCAAAGATGCAACGGCTTTCTCTGACCTTTCTCTGGGTCACCAGAGTTCCTAAAGCCAGAAACTATGTCAATGGCCAAGCACACCCTGGCGGCTGGCTTGGCCTGGCCCTTGCTTGTCTGTGTCGGATCAGGTGGTGGGAGGGAGACAGTTCTTATTTCACAGGGACTGCACAGAAAAGCAGGGAACACGCCAAGGCCTCCAGGCCACACTAGTGTCGGGAGACACATATAAACACCAGATAGCTCCACAGACCCCAGAGAAAACTGAGGCTGAAAATCTGTTTTCTACCCCAACTCCAGTGTGAGCCACTTCTTTTCCTAGAAGTGGGTGCCACTATGTCCGACCTTGTTATAGCACCCCATGTGGTTTTTGTGCCATTTTGGGGGGATGGGAACAACTCTAATCCTCAAGGGCCCCAAGAAGGACTGTAAGGAGAAAACTAGCTGATCTCCTTCTACCCTCCAACCCACTCTGCCACTCCTGACCTGCCTTGGACATATCCATTCCTCACAGCCGTTCCCATGCTGACCAGCCTGGGAAGTCAGGCCTTGGACCAGTGTTGGGGCTCAAGCTGGAGGTGGTAGCTTGGGGCTCTTTGGGGAGTGATGACCTCTTCTATCTCCCACTTTTATTCCTTTCCAGTGCCTCTGCCTTAGAGGAGGCTGTGGATGGGGGCGGGGGTGCTGCTGAGATCATTGGACCTGGCCTAGTCCAGCCTTGAGTGGGGACGGGAAGCTGCAGCTTGGAGGGTCCTGGGCTCCAACTCTGTAACATCACTATACATGCACCAAACCAATAAAACTTTGACAAGAGTCATTTCCATGGGCCCTTGGGTGGCCTGGAACACCACCAACACTATCCTAACAACAATAATAGGGAATCCAGCTACTCAATCCTGGTGCCTCTGCAGGACCAATTTTAGCCACCATGGCAGAGAGAACTCCACAGCAAAGGTGGCCTCTGAGGTATTAGCTTTGCTTGTAGCTGTTTGTTCCTAGCCCCACCCCTAGCATGGCAGTGTGAGGTGGGCAAAGCCTGAATGCAGTGTACCGGACAGATGTCCATCTTCTCATTTCCAGGCATGATCAAGGCTCCAGGCTTTCCAGGTCTCAGGCTGGCAATGCCCCAACAACAGAAGCTTGACTCCTTAAAAGTGAAATAGAAATCAACCCAGTGAAAGAGGAATGTTCTTGGCACCTTAAAAATCAGGAATAATGACAAACAAGGTAGTGGCACCCACGGGCTCAGGCTCTGGGGAGCTGTCAGGGCATAATTTGCATGCTAAATATAATATTTTTAGCACCAAAGTTTGGAGCACTTAACTTGCCCTGAACATTTAATTATGGACTTTGATCTTCTTGCTGAACTTGAATCTAGTGCTAAGCTTTGGGAAAGGCTCTTGTCCCCAGGAGCACCCTGGTTCCAGAAGGTAAGCTAAGCAGGTCCCTTAGGGTAGCTCAGAGCCACCAATGACTTGGTGCCCATCTCCTGAAAGGGATCCATTTAGTTCAGATCCTCATTTAGTCCAGAATCCCCAGAAAACTCTGCTACTGACACTCACTCACTAATCAACCAACAGAACCCATCCAAACCACACCACACCACACACACACACACACACACGTGTGATATGCTGTCACTGTATGGATGGATGGCTGATCTTGACCTGTCTGGGAGACTCAAAGTTTGTTTCATTGTCAGAAGTCTTACGAGGATATTCATGTCTATGAGCTTCGAGAACTGGAGGAGGGGAGAGAGGGAAGAAGGGAGGTAGTAAGACAGACAGACAGACAGACAGAGAGACATAGAGAGAGCACACACCTGCAAGTGGGGAGAGAGAGAGCACTCACCTGAAAGTGAGGTGGGGAGGCAATCCACAGAGCAATCAGAGAAGAACCCTGTCAGAGAGAAAAGGGGAAGAGGGCAGGGCAGGGGCGGGAGGCGGGGCAGGAGAGAGTTGCCCACAATTGTCAGGAGGCTTCAAGTCTTTCTTCCAGACAGCAGATTGACAGCTAGAGTGGGCAGGGGGAGGGCTGGGCTCCACCCTCTCCCCATTAAGCGGTAGGGAGCAAAGGAATGGGAGGAATGGGACCCAGAAACACATAGCCTGGGTATCCCAGGCTCTGGCTTTTCAAAAAAGGCCCCACCCTTTCCTTGATAGGTTTAGGACCGAAGCCTCAGAACATTTTCTCCCCACTACCTTCCTGACATTTCCAGTGTTCCTATCTACCCGGAGACCTATATACTATATACCCATTTTAGACTGTCCTTGTCTCCAGAGACTGCATGGCTTTCTTTGTCTGCTGTCCAGTCTTCTCTGGTTGGCTCCAGAAAAGACTGTCCTCTTGAATGCAAGAACAGAGTCTGTATCTGTGACTTTGGAATCTACCAGTACTGAGTATCTTTGGCTTTGCTTTTACGGATGCTCTTCTCCTAGTCCCAGGGGCTATTTCTGGCCTCACTTGAGGAAGGTGGTTTACCTAGGTGAAAAGCCTGGATCCCTGACTAAATCTTATGCCATCCATTCTGTGCAGTGTAGTTGGAATGGCTAGTGCGGGCAGATTTATTTTATTTTATTCTATTTTATTTTATTTAGATAGAGATAGAAAACCTGTTTGAGACCAGACCTTTAGGGTGATACCCGGAGATCCATGCAAACAGCAACTTCCTGCCCAGTAGCAGCAGGTGGTGGAGAGCGAGAGAGGACAAAGTTAATAATAGCAGGAGGTTAGAGTCTGGGAGTTTTATGTTTCTGTGGGTCCTTTCCTAGTTATTATGTGTCGGTAGCCCTGTCTCACCAGGTGAAGCAGGAGGCTGGAAGGTAGAAAGTGTAGCATCTTCTAAGTGAGAAGACCTGTGTGACCCAGCCCCCAGTCTTACGGGTGGAGTGAGGAGGACTCTGATGAATACCTTTTACCGCATCTTCGCTCTGCCTCGGTTACTTCTAGGGCAGAGAACAGGGTGATGGCTGCTGCTCTGTCTAGAGAGCTCCTTTACTGCCAGGTTCATTTTTTTTTAAAGTCCCCTCATGTGCATTGCTTCTACCTTACCCTGTTCTTAAGGATGCAGACATGGTGCGTTGGCTTGATCCACTTTAGACTGCTGGAGCCTTTGGTACTATATAGCCTGAAGATCACCTTCACTACTGTGTCTCAGTGGTTAGAGCTAGTGAGCTGGGGGGCTTGCCCTTGCCTTGTAGTGAGTGACCTAGCACTATTGTAGGTGTGTTCCAAGGTCACAGCCCACCCCAAGGCCCAGAGAGTGTCTCTCCCCTTCCTTCCCAGAATGCATGGCCATGGAAAACTAGGCTGCTGTGTCTTTGGGCATCACTCTCACAAGGTCCCCAAAGTTTGATTATCTGTGCTCTATTCTAAGAGAAAAAAATTTCTCTTGTTTAGGAGAAACTGCAAGAAACTGAAATGTTGAGTGCTTATTAACTGCCATGCTATCTCACAGGCTTGGCATCAGATTCAAGTGTGGCAGCACCCCAAGGACCAGTGCTGCTAAGGGTCATGACTGAAGCTAAGGAACTTTCAGCAACTTGAGGTCCTGGAAGGCTGTGAGCTGTGACACAGTCAGGCTTCGTATTCAGGTCTTCTGCCTGGACCTACACTGCCAGCCTTTCCCAGCTTCCTTCTGCTACAGCGTAGCCTGGCTCACACCCTTTGTTCTTTCTATGGCATTGCACGAAATTCTCCAGCCCCCATTGCCTGTAATCTGTCCAAACACCATGGGTAGTACATGTGTCCTGGGCACTAAGAGAGGAGAGAAGGAAATATAGAAATACCAGGTTGTACACCTGAGCAAGCAACACAGCAGATATCAGGGGGTGTCAGCTCGGTGCCTTCAAGAGGAGTGGCCTTCTCCAACAGGGCCAGCAGGAAAAGCTTCTCAGGTAGAAATAAGTGGGCTGGATATGGTGGCATGGGGGATACTTACAACACCATCAGCCACAGAGGGAGGAAAGGAACTCAGCATTAGCACGAAGGTTTATCGTATGATCCTAGGGCTGGTGAGCTCCATAAAGAGACCGTCTTGAACAGATGACTAGGGCAGCCATGTGTGTGTCCAGAAGCCTCCCTGCTGACTGCCCTCTCCTCTCCCACAAGATTGGAAAGCTTGGCTTTTCTTTCAACTTCACTTGGTGCCCTCCCCAGCATATATTCTCAAGGCTGTAAAGATGCACCCACAGGTGTTTCAGAAAGTTTTCTGCAGTTCACTGAAAGCCCACGTCCCATCTGAGAAGGTCACACAGGCCAATTGGAACTTCCAGTCTGTAGTTTAACTCCCTGGCTGTGGCTTGCTAAAATATGCTGTTCCTTCTGGTTCCCTGCTCTCATATCTAGAGGCGTCCCATCTAGTCTTCAAAGCACAAGGAACCATTTAAACAGAGGTTTAGAATAGGGATTTACCTCTGTACATGATAAGGAAAGAGCAGGTAAGTGGAATAATGCTGTTGAGGAAGGACAAGAGCTGGAAGACAGAAGAGAAACAGAGCGAAGGTGAGTGCCAATGCATCCCAGGTCTGTGTGTGGGCCCAGAGCATCCTCACTTCAAAAATCTACACACAGTGACTGGAGCACCCACAAGCCTCCCTGTGCAGAGAACGCCTACAGCGAACAGAGCATTAAACCAAGACTCTAGCCCAGGTTTGTCTGGCCACCTCTAAATCCTCTCATAGCATGGTATTCCGATTTTCCACCACATCATCCAGTTTCCTCATTGCACACAGTTCCTGGAGGTCTTTGCAATGCATTAGACAATCAGACTTTATCCACCCTCTGCTTGCAAAGAGGTACGAGCTCTCCTCATCCTCTCACAGTGAGACTAAGCCCTAGACTCAAGATGGACATCAGAGTCTCACCCACCGGGAATCTATCCCATCGTCTGCCTGTTGAAATAATCTGTCCCTTCCACATCCTGGAGCTTATGGCGTACCTTATGGCCCTTCTCAGCTCCATCCATGCCGCCTTCAATATTTATATCTTTCAGGAGTCTCTTTCTGATCGCCAATGCTTAGATTGGAAACTGACTCGAGGAGGCCAAGAAAGGAGAGGTCAGCAACTGCCTCTATCCAGTATGACTGCTTAAGTTTAGCAATGTTGAAAACCCGATCCCTCAGCTACACTTACCACATTTCAAAGACTCAGTCCCACAAGTAGCTAGTGGTACCCTACCCACTAAGCAACATGAATCCCAGAGATTCTTTCCCTCCCTTACAGTTTTATTGGAGATACTCATCCTAGGTTAGCAGTTTGGGGACCTTCAGCTAAGATAGAAACAAAGGGTGAGGAACAGGTTTGTGGATGGGAAGGCAATATTCACTTTGGGATGATTTGAGTTTGAGGGTTCTCTAGGACCTCCAAGTAGAAATGTACAGTAAGGAATCAGGGTTCCAATTTCTAGCTCCCCCACCCCTAGGTACTTTAAACATAGTGGAAAACCACAAGAGATTCCCTTCCAGCAATTTTAAGGACCTCCTTTAAATCCAACCCAAATCCCTACATAACTGAGAAGGCAGGTGTGTCCAAATGAAGCTTACAATAGATGCCATATGTATCTGTCTAGGGTAACTTGAGAATACAGCAGACAACAAAGTCATCTTGTTCAAGACTGAGCCCAAACTATCACCTCTGTTAGCTCCTGGAGGACATGATTCAAAAAAGCAGGCATCTGAGAACCTCCATGCATTCAGGACCATCAGAGCCAAAGTGATTCTCAGGCGCAGCCCTGACCATACCTCCATGACACCCTTGCCATGCACTGGATAACAAATGCCAATGCATCCCCCCACCCACAGTTTTCTTCAAGGTTGTCTGTGATAAGCCAGACACCATCTTGTACTATGGCTGTTCTATGCTTACTTGGGTGTGAATATGCAGTCCCTACCATCTCCTCTGGCTCTTCTAGATTCCTAGACTTGGAGCTACATCACTATGCCAGGGTTTAAGAGGGGCACACAGCTGCCTCTTCCCTCTTCTTCCTCATTGTTCTAGGAGACAGAACTAAGTTCTCTGAACATGGTATTTAGGCAGCTGGCGTAGAATAGGGTGAAGAAGCTGTTATAGAACAGAGAACTAAACAATCTGCCGAGTGGTTCTCAGACACCAGGAGTTTCTACTACCTCTCTGGACGAGGACTTGCTATCCTCACTGTGCCATAGGCACGGTTCTGTTGAGAGAGGGCCCAGAGAAAGCCTTGGGTACAGCCCCTGGTGGTCATCCTTAGCCCTGGCTGCTCTACTGCATAGTCATTGAGCTCACTCACATCAGGTATGCCCTGCAGATTCTGGTTTAATCGCTGGAGAACACATTTAAAGAATCCCTCTTTAGGAAATCCTAATGTGTAGACTAGTCTGACAGCTGCTTCTTGAGGATACAACCCAGCCAAATTCTGACCCCAGACTCACCGTTGGCCATCCCAAACTGGCCAGAGCACACCCGGAGCTGGTCCAGAGACCCCAGGGCAGAGGAATTAAGGCTGCCACAGAGATCTCATGCCCAAGGAAGAGTGGCACATGGGGCAGGCAGGGCTCCTCTGCCCTACCTTTCACCACATGATGATGCCAGGGTGCTGAAGGGGTGGGAAGACGAGGCAGAGGGAGAACCTGCCCTCCTCATACTCCCGTCAGAGCCCCTGCCCCACTGACCACTGACCCAGGCTTCGCAACACACGCAGTGGACATTAGCAGCCCTGGCACTTTTCCATCCTGCCCACAACTGCTGGGTAGTCCAACGGGTGGGTGGCCCGTATGTGTTCCTAGAGAGCAGTTCTCGGAGCAGCTGATAAGGAAGGAATCAAGTCCCTGCTGCTGCAGCCCCGCCCCAAGCCCAAACAACCCCCTCTCACTACCAGCTTCAGCTGTCCTACCTCCCCCCCACATTAACTCACACACATGTTCTACACACATGCATATATTATGCCTCCATACCTCCATCCTCTCTTCCCTACCCTGCCCGCTCCCCTGCACGAATTTACAAATGCATTCTATACACACGCGTGCATTATGCACACGCCTGCAACTAATCTTAGCTACCCTGCCTCCTTCCACATAAACTCACATGTGAGTATTTTATATGTACACGGACCATACCAGAAAAATCACATGTGCAGGCATCCACAGTCACCCCACTCCCCTCAGCTGCCCTTTCTCTGCTCTTCTATGCTCACATACATGTATTATGCACACATGAAATATATCGGTCACTACACACAGGTATAAGCCATGTTAACCTCCCTGGCTCCCCATGCATCTGCAGTTGATGTATGTCTAGTTGAGACAATCAGATCATCAGCTTTATTCACTCTGAGGTTTGGACCCTGACAATATAACTGGGTACAGAGAAGTGTGGGGTTGGAGACAGGAAACTGGCATCCCATGGATGAGCGCATATCTGTAGTTTGGTAATATCTTTCCCTTACTCCAAAAAGAATCTACAGGACCCCAGAGGCTGAGACCAGTGCTAGCAGAAGTTACAGCCATTGAGGTGACAGGAGCATGTCTGAGACTAACAGTGAGCTGACATGGTCTTAGTTCCAAGTGCATAATCCCTGTGTAATGTAGCTATCTGACTCTCCTCTTTCCAACTATGGTAAAGTGCCTAGAATACAAAATCGAAGCTGAGAGGAGCCCTCTCTTCTCATTTTTAGGCCTTCCTTATTTGGGGGCATGTTTCTTGGAACACAGGACTCCATTATTCAGAAGCAAGTGGCAAATGGTGGCAAGGACCTTGAGGCTGGGGAGGAAGTTTATCTTGGGTACATGTGCTCATTTAAGGAGAAGGAAGAGCAAGGCTGGGCTGGAGATGACTTTCAGAGGAACTGGAATCAGTTTTCTAGGCAGACTGTAGTCTCCTCAGCTCACTGGAACCTCCTTGGTTCCTTCCATCAGCAAGGACCTGGTTCCTCTCTGGGTCAAATGGGCAGGTAGGAAGTGGCCTCTCAGATGACAAATTTCACTCTTACAAACCTCTCCCCTTCCAGGCAAAGAGACCCTGGTACACCTAAACTTCTGTCTGGGATCAAGGCTCAGAAACTCCCAGAATGGCTAGCCGAAGGCTCCTTGCCCTCCAGGATGGCCACTATGCCCTGCTTTGGGCTACGAAGGGCCAGCTGCAGGGGTGTGCAGCCAACTCCATCCTTGACATCCAGCTGAGCACCAGCTTTGACTAGCACTTTAAGGATGGCTGTGTTGCCCTTGAGAGCAGCCAAGTGGGCAGGTGTCCAGCCAGCCTTGTTGCATGCGTGGACATCAGCACCATGCTCCAGAAGGTGGATGATGCCCAGGAAGGTCCCTTTCTGCACTGCCAGGTGGAGAGGAGTCCAGCCTGACTGTTCAGCAGCACTGGGGTTGGCCCCGCCCTGAAGAAGTGCCAACATCACCCCCTCCTCTCCATGGAAGGCAGCCAGGTGCAGGGGAGTCCATTGCATACTTCCAAGAGCATCTAGGTCTGCATGGCTCTTGGCTAGCAGACGGGTGATCTCCAGGTGGCCCTTGTAAGCTGCTAGGTGCAGGGGTGTCCATCCCTGTTGTGTGGGTAGCTCAAGGCTGGCCCCATATCTGAGAAGCATCTTGAAGATAAGGTACTTACCCCTGGCTGCAGCAATGTGTAGTGGGCTGTAGCCACTATGGTCAAGTGCGTCAGGGAACGCCCCACTCTTTAGCAGGTGTTGGATGGCTCTCACTTTCCCCCTCTCCACTGCCAGGTGCAGGGGTGTCCTCAGGTTCCTCTGCTGAGCATCCAGCTCAGCTCCCTGTCCTGTCAGCAGCTTGACCAAGCCAATGTGGCCAAAGTAGGCAGCCACATGGAGCGGTGTCTTGCCCTCAGCCTCATGTGGGTTGAGGTTAGCCTGACGGGAGACCAGAAGCCGTGCCACATTCTCAAAGTTATTCTGTGCAGCCAAGTGGAGTGGGGTCCAGCCCTCATGCTCCTGGACATCCACCAGGGCCCCATTGTCCAGAAGCAGCCGGGCAGTGTGGTCATCCCCATTCTGGGCTGCAAAATGCAGTGGGGCCCAGCCATCCTCATCTGCCAGATTGGTATCAGCACCATGTGCCAAGAGCAGGGCACAGAGGTCAGGCTGCTGGTCCTGGGTGGCGATGAGGAGCGGCGTATAGCCAGAGGCCGTCTGGCAGTCCACATCAACCTCATGGGAAAGTAGCAGCCTCACTTGCTCCAAGCTGCCCCGGGCCACTAGGAAGTGGAGGGGAGTCACCTTGTTCTCATAGACATCACTTGGGACCAAGCTCTTGCTGTCAGAGAGCTGTAGAATCCACTTTGAGGAGTCACCTGAATCTGCTAAGATAAAGGGATAGATTGAAAAAAATCATCAGATCATAACCTGTTCAGAGGTCACCTTAAGCACCCCCCTGCCTCCTGGAGACAGTTTGCAGAGATAGCCTAGTCTTGAGGGCAATAGCTTTTGTGGTACCAGAGTTCACTGACTCTGTTAGAGCTTTGAGCCTGTGGTTTTTGTAGAGGAGGAAGGATGAGCTGGGGCTGGGAGGCCTGGATGAAAATTCATACTCCACCCATGAGTATCCTCTGACTCTGCTAGTGGTCTGCCTCTTTGAGCATCCACACGTAGCTCTTTAAAGGGGAGATGAACAATGCTGGCTCATTTGACTAGTGGAAAGACAGATTAGGCAGGAACAAATGTTCAGAGAAGAACACGAGAAAAAGGCAGGCTGTGGAAATCAGAACTGCACTAGAACTTGGGCTTGTGTAATATAAGACCTTCAGGACTTATGCCCTTCTGCTCCGTCTACTGGGTATCAAAACTGCATAGTGAGTATTGCCAAGAGTCACTCACTTAAGATTCTGGTATGTATGGGATAGGCACTGGATACAGCTTTCTCTCTCTCTCTCTCTCTCTTTTTTTTTCCCGAAGAAGTCTAACAAAAGCCAGTATTGAGAGCCAGTGTTCTGTTCTATCTCTCAGAGATTCTAATCTTTAAAGAGCACAGACATGAAGAGGAAGCTGATACAGAACTCCAAGAACCTTGTTGTTTCTGAACCCCCCTGATATGTCATAGGCCTGAAAAAGAGAGAGGACAAGGAAGATGAACAAAGAGAACAGAGAGATTTCCCCCTTCTCTCCATGCAGAGTCTTTGCTTCCCTCTCGGCACAATTGACTCACCGTAGTCTGCACGCTCCTGGTTGACCTCCCTGCTGACCTGGGAAGTAATACACATGGTGGGTGGATCATCAGGGTTCAGTTCTGGCCCTCCCTGCCTTTCCTCTCTCCAGATTCACATTCTACTCTTCCTGGGACACCTTCCTATAGCATTGTCCCCCCGCCCCAGTATATGTATAGAAGAAATCATAAACAGGTGGAGTTCTGGGTCTTGGCCTTCATTTGAAGACTTCATAGTAGACCTCTGGAATCCCTGATAGTTTCTGTCAGTTGCCGTGTCACAGTAGTGACAGGAGATTTGAAGGATGATGTTGACATCCACAGAGTGACAGCTTCGAATAGGATCCTTCCCAGGGGCTCTGAGCCACAGCACCCACGGCCTTCAGAGAACAGTTGGGTAAATAAGGACAGGTGGCCTTCCCTATGGGTGCTGGCAGCCCCCAGCTAGTCTCCCTGAGAGCTAAGTGTGGGCTAGCTTGGCTTGTACTTCCCACGTCTCTCTCAGCAGTCAAGTGGTCTTGTAAATGACAGCCTTTGCCTATCCTAAATGACCTCGCAGGTCATCTAGAGACCGTGGATGTCACACAGTGGCTTCCAGTACCCCTACAGTGGTCTGCTCAGCCTGTCATGTACACCTTGTGTGGTCGGCTCAGTGATGGCTTGCAAGACACCTTCCGGGTCAGGGCCTCACACTCAGGGTCTGCCACTGGGCTTTGGAGCAGGGACAGCAGCATGTCTGTCTCGACGGTCACATCTGTTCCACAAGAAAAAGGGGTAGAGAAAAAGGAAGTAACAAGCAAGGTCAATGGTGCTCACTACATTTTAGATATTCTCTTGTTTCCTGTGTTCCCTCAAAGACATCCCTAAGTTTATGTATGTTCTCATCTGCCCACAATGAGGTAGGAAGCTGAGCCCTACTGTTGACATGGCTGAGGTATATTTGACCAGCCAGTGACCCTCTGAAGGAAAGTCTGTTTTCACAGAGAGAGAAGGCAAGGACCAGGTGATCTCTAAGATGCTCACCCCTCTGTGTGTTATCCCTAGAGGACCAGATAACTTTATCCCATCCAGCCTACGGGATGAAGTTATATTCATGAATATATATGAATTCCTTTATATTCCACAGTAATGAACATTCCCAAAGATAGCTTCAGAGCTCAGTGACAAGATGGGTCAAATGCTATGACTTCTATTTGCTGATTTTATCTCCCTTAGGCACACACTCTCTAAGCAAATCCATCCTTAGCTGTGCAACTCAGAGAGTCTGCCTCCCCAGCCCACCCTGAAGGTTTCTTATACATCTTTACATCTTTCTGAGCTCTGGTGCCAAGGGTGTCTCTGCATGTGTCTCAGGAGAAGGGTATCTTCTGTCCCTCCCTCTCTAATTCCTGGGCAGGGAATAATGGGCAGATACTTAGGAAGCATGGCCTCTTCTTGGGGTCTTGGTCCCAGCAGCGTGTCATCAGGTCTACCATCTGATGGGCCTCTTCTGGCCACTCAGCAGAGACAGCCTGCAAGGAGGGCCTCATGCCTGCAGCTACCCGGATGATAATGGTCATCATATTGAGCCCTGTGAGGGAAGACCCAGACTGTGTGGTCAGATGACTAGCAAGTGGATGGAAGCTGGGAGGAGCCTGACAGGATGGGAATGCAGCGGGTGCCCTATACATGCTCATTGAGTAGATAGCTGAGTCTGGGACCTATTGAGGATCTTATTGAGCAGCTTAGTCACTGGTCCAGCTCTAGCCAAGACTCAACATGCTCCTCATAGCCTTTTTCTTTGCAAAGGTAACAGAAAAGACAAACAGGCTTAGGGAAAGGCTTTGGCTTTCCATACTGTAAAGTGCAGGAGCTTGGGTATTACAGCTATAAAGCAAGGTCGAGGCTGATACCTATTCACCATTACAGAAGCACTAGCATTTGGGGATAGAGGGAGCAGAGTAAGGTAGAATCCATGAGGATCTCACACTATCGGTCACACAACCCATCGGTCCTCCTGTGTTCTCTCCAACCTCAGCCTCCCTCAGGTATAGAGAGACCATGATCATCTGTTACCTGCATAGGGTTTCTTCTGAGTAAGAATCTCCCAGATGACAATCCCAAAGCTGTAGTGGGAAATATATTAGCAGAGAGATTTAGTATAGCATCCATGATCCCTAGCCAGGCTGAGCCTGCAGTCTCTAAAATCCCAGGTGAAGCCTCTCCAGGTCCTCCTCATTTCTCCCTTTCCATCAGCACATGGAGGAACCAATTCTAATCCTTCTTCTACTGCCTGTTAGCAGTGGGGACCTGTCTGGGATAGCAACCTGTCACATGACAGAGAGCCCAGTTGCTCACTCACCTGTACACATCATATTCAGGGCCTGGTGCCTTGTTATTCTCCAGAAACATTTCAGGAGGGATGTAGCTAAGTGTGCCCCTCAGAGCTGATCTCTCAATGTGCTGCATCTGGGTTGACTGCTCCATCCATTTGGATAGACCAAAATCTGAAATCTGGGAGAAAGCCGGATGCTAAGAACAGGGTAGCCACAGACACCTTCCAGAAGCCATCTGTGCCCCCTGCCCCCACCACTGTTCTTTTCAGTATACAAAAGCACATGTGGTTTTCAACTTCACTGACAACCAGCTCTACTACACACTACCTAGATGATCCTGAACGAGTTATTCATCTTCTCAGAGCCTCAGTTTCCTCATCTGTAGACTGGAAATCTGTGTATCTCCAGGGTCCTTGTTTTTTTCCATCTCCATGGATCCTGAAACATCTCATCTCTTAATCCTCTGCTCCCAGCCTTTCAGACTGTCATCCATTAAGAGACAATGAGATTGGGTACAGAGATGCCTCTTTAAACCCCTCACCCTCATGATAGCTGGGTATTCACACAGGATGTACATGCATTAAGAACAAGTTTCACTCCCTTGCCTGCTTCAGGGAGCTGGTACTCTTCAACTTTGCCTAACCTTAAAAAAAAAAGGCTCATAGAATGACTATATACTGCAACTAGGGTTAGAAAATGAAGTAAGGCCCTGTCAGAGCAGATCAAGAAAGGTCTCCCCAAGGAGATGATGCTAAATCTGAGAGCTGAGGTATGACTAGGACTTTGCTAGATAAAGAGAGAGTTGGGGCAACAGAATGTGCAGAGGTCTTAACCACATAAAAATAGGTTTGAGCACTGAAGAAAAAGGCCACCATGACTTACTAAAAAAAATCTCATTTATACACATTCCTTTCTCAGAAAAAGAACTTGAGGGGTAGAGACTATTCTATCAACTTTCTAAGTGTGGCCCAGTGAGCATTGCTGTGCACATCACAACCCCAGTCTCATGTCCCAAAGTTGTCTACTTACCCATATCTGTTTCAGGCTTAACCTCTGTGTACACTATTTATTCAAACAAATGGCTCAAACTCTTGGCTGGCTCAGTGACTGTCAGGTAGACAATCCTGCCACACGGAGGAGGGGTAGTGTGCACTGTCATTACCTTGACGTGCATGTTGTTGTCCAGCAGGATGTTGCCTGGCTTAAGGTCCAGGTGGAGCAAGGGTGGCTTGATGCTGTGGAGGAAGTTCATGGCTAAGCTGGTCTCATGGATGATTCGGAACTTGAGTGGCCAGCAGAGGCTGTGGGTAGGTAGTGTCTTCTCCAGGGAACCACCGCCCATGAACTCCATTACAATGCCCAAGGGATGCTTGCATACCCCATAGATGGACACAATGTGTTGAAACTTAATCTTCTCCATTTTGACTGCTTCTTCAAAGAGGCAACTCACCCCAGAGCTGTGGAAAGAGCCAGGAATGAGAAACAGGAATTACCAGGACAACTGGCAGAACACACCGACTCAGCATGATGGAACTGGGGAGACCCAGGGAAGCCTCAGGAGCTTGCAAGACAGTGGAAGAGAAGTGAGGGGTTATAGGAATGCCAGCAGGCAGCCAGGACTGGGACTCAAGCTGCTACCAGTGAAAAGGGAAGAGATTTGCGGGCAAGTGTATCCATTTTGTAGCATCAGCCACAAAAATGCTGGAACACAACCTACCATTTATCCTGCCCACTTGCTTACATGTTCAGTTTCCCTAGCAGCTTTCAAACCTCTGGAAGACCAGTATTATGCTTCAGGCTTCTGTTTTAAAATAGCATCTGTTACCATTTTGATTATGAAAATAATACATGCACCTCATAGAAAACCTAGGAGATGCAGAGAGTTGTAAAAAAGAAATCTTGCAGAGTTGGCCTTGACTAACATTTTAGTGTGTTCTTTTATGAAGTTTTCCAAGAGCCTCTTTTCCCTTTCTCCCTCCCTCCTTTCTCTCGCTTCTCTGAATTGTTATTCTCCGGAAGCACGGTCTTTAATGGATGCAGAGTAGTCCGTGTTATGAATGAACTATAATCAGTACCACCCCCCTCACCACACACACATACATTGTCATGCGCTGCACAGTACATCTTTGTGGGAGTGAACTGAAGTCAAGACCTAAGGGCAAGCATTGCAGGCCCTCTCGATCATTTCACTGTGCGTGCCCACAGAACTGTAAATATGCAAACTGCAAGAGACTGGGGATTTGAGGGGATGGAGATTAAGGAGGAATGGCACATTTGAAAAGCAAGGTGTCTGCAAAGCTGTGCTGCTGCTGCTGTGGGATGCGTGGGAAGCGGCTGACAATGTGCTCTCAGGGTCACGCTGAGAAATCAGCCAGAGGACCTGGCCTCTAGAAACATCTACTCTTCTCCAGGCACCTGAGCAGATGGCTACTCCAGGGCTAGCCCCCTCTGACCCTTCTTTGCTGTTCCAGACAGCTCTGGGGTTTTTTACTTGCCCCCTCCCCGCTCCTGGATGTGTGGGTATCAGAATACTATCTGCCTTGAGGGAGACAAATTGTGGGAACTTGAGGTAACATTGTGCCACCCTCAAGGCTTAGTAATCTCACTTGAGGTGTGCATGACTTGAGACAAGGATCTCAAGGACTCAGTTATAACCTGCTTAATGGGAATAACAGTAACTGCCTGAACAGCTCCCAGCCACACCCAGACTTCTTCAGTGGGTTTCTGTCTCTGTGGCCTCAGCCCTCATTGCTCCAGCCCTCAGTGTGCAGTTCCAGTCTCTCTTCTCTTACCCCAGTCATATCCACATTTTCCTGCAACTCCCCCGTGGTCCTTCTGCTTTCCTGCTCTGTCAGCTAATTTGGAATGCTCAGCTCTTTGCTCATTTCAGACATTCTGCTCATCCCACCGCATACCCTACTTTCTCCGGTCACTGTCAGCATCTCCAGTCAGACATTTGGTGCTTTGATGCTGCATGTGTCAGAAGCTTGACTCTTGACCTCCCCAGTAAGACTGCCTCCTCCTCTTGCCTTATGGATCTCAGCCAATAATCTCCCCATCCTCCAGGCCTCAGACAGGTCCTGGATCGGCCCTGGATCCATCACTGACCTCTTATTTCATCCCCACAGCCAGCTACACCACTGAAATTTAGCAAAGATCTAGCTACTTCTTAACACCTCTGAGCCCAAACCTCCTAAATTGCCTTTCTGCTGTTACCTTTTCCTCCAAACACATACTTTTAAATATAAAATGTACATAGGAGGGGATGGAGAGATGTTTCAGCAGTTAGGAGTGTGTACTCTCTTGCCGAGGATCCAAGTTCTGTTCCTAGCACCCAGAAGTGGCTCACAACCATGTGTAACTCCAGATGCAAGTACATCTGATGCCTCTAGCCTCTGTGGGCACCTGCACTCATGTATACATACCTGCCTTCACACACTCATATAAGAAAATTAAATCTCAAAAAAAAAAAAAAAACCCAAAGCATCTGTAGTAGCAAATGACTGCTCTGCCAGTGCACCCATTGCCTTTCTTCTCCCTACGAGTTGGAGGCAAGGGTCTCTCAAAGCCTGACAAAGGTCCATGTGTTCTCCTCACCCCTTCCATAACTCTCTGACATCATTTCATCCTAACCCATACCCTTCTCTCTGCCCACATGCCAAGTGTGTTGCCACTCCAGGAAGTTTGGATGTGTTGTTTCCTCTGCCAAAACACCTCCACTCACAGAACCAAATGGCCTTCCCATTCCTCTGTATCAGTGACAACTCAGATTGCCTTAATTAGTGAATACTTTAGAAACAAGATGTATAAATGGCATCTCTACCTTAGTTCTAGCCATTACGTTGTGCAGGCAATTCAGCTGGCCTGCCCTCAGAGGCCTTCAGGGTCCTGACAACATCCTATGTCACCACCTGGGCCCGGTGCTTCAGATAAAACTCCTCTGCCATTTCCACCTGCTCTCTTTGCTTTGCTCTTTCTCTCCTTCAGTTTCTTTCCCCTTCCCTCCTCTTTGACGTTTCTCCTTCACCTCCCTACCATGCTCTTCTTTTTCTTCTCCTCTAATTCCTCCCCTCTTCCTTCCCCCAATAAATCTCTCATATCCAACTCTGTTGAGTGTGTGGCATTTTAAAAAACAGCCTAACACTATCCATCCTTATTCCCACACACACAGACAACCCACAGATGAATACTTCTAGACCAGATTTATTCTTGGGAAATCCCAGGCCTCAGCTCTCCTTAGGTAAATCAGTGGAGAAAATGTCTAGCAGTCCTAAGTGCTATAAATAGAAACTGTATTATTTATCTGCTCATTGCTTCCTTCATTAGAATCTAAGCTCTATGAGGGCAGGACCTACTGACCTCATTCATTCTAAACCACTTTGGGTTTAGAATGAATGAATCCCCGCCTTGGTTTCAATTATTACTTAAGACACACAGCCTGTCAGTGATAATTATGACAACTCTTCAAACCTGGGCTTCATGGTCTCTTTTACACCAAGACCATCATTCAACAAATACCTATTTAACAAAGGCTATGAACCAGGCACTAGCAGAGAGCAAAATAGATACAAGCACCTGATGTTACAGAGTAACATCCTGGTGGGTCCTGTCTTCCTCTGGCATACCAGGCAGGGCGCAAACCTCAGCATCCTTCTTTGTTGTTCCCACCTCCTCCCGCCCCCACACACAGTCAACTAGCACAAGGTCCTGTTCCTCCCTACCTCCCCTCTCCTTTCACCCTGTCTCCACCACCAGCACTACCATCGAGGTCTGCATCATCCTTTGCCTGAAGACATCAGTTTCTTCACAAGAACAGTGTTCACCCTCCCCCTTTTAGTCTACCCCCTAAGCTGCACATCTGACGACTTCCCTCCCACACTTGTTCTCCAACCTAGCTGCAAACGCTTCAGTGGCTTTCCCCTGCTCTTTCCTATCTTCCACTTTGGCCATAAGGACTTTTCCTTACCTTTGTACATACTGTGCCCTCTTTCACAGGACCTTTACATCCTCCATTGCATGTAAACTTTTTCCTCACCTACTTACGTCACACTCATTCACATTTCAGCTCCAGGGTGACTTTCTCAGGGAAGGTTTTCTGCTCTCAGGTAGGAAGGGCTCAAAGGGCTATTTTCTGCATGTGTTACAGGGGCACACTCAGATTGTAGCTAATCTCTCTCTCTCAGCTTCAAGATCCAGAGAGCAATAACATGTCTAATCCACTCATTATTTCCTCCCAGGGGCTGGTAGAATGTTGGACACATACTAGAAAGTAATTAGTTTTCATCAAGTGGATGGATGGATGGATGGATGGATGGATGGGTGGGGAATATAATGAAGCTAAAAATATAGCCATCCACAAAACACTCACTAGCTACAGTTATTAATAATTTTCTTATTCCTTCATAGTTAGTGAATCCTAAGAACTTGGGAAGGAAAACTTGGGGCAGTTTTTTTTTTTTTTTTTTTTTTATGGTCAAAGTACGGGCAGGTCATTGTCACTTCCTCATGCTATTTTTAAAACATATTTCTTTGTGTGCGTGTGAATGTGTCACCACTCATATATATGGGTGTGGAAGTCACAGGACAACGTGCAGGAGGTCATTTCTCTCCTTCTACCATGTGCATCCTGGGGATCAAACTGAGCTTATCAAGCTTGGCTGTAAATGCCTTTATATGCGGAGTCAGCTCATCAGCGTTCCTCATACTCGGGCCTAACATCTCAGATGTCTCCTTCCCGGGTGAAAGGGGGAGCCCAGAGTAGGGACCCATAGTAAGGCTAGAAGCAGTAATGGAGAAGTGTGGCTACAGCACAAACCGTGACGGCCCAGGTCTAAGACAGACACTTACCGTGGGACTGTGGACTTAACTTTCCAGTAGGATTTATTTCATCTGGCAAGTGATCTGCATCTGCCCTGCCTCAGTTTATCCCCTGTGGAAGGCCAGCAGTATGGCATCAGCTACCTGGGGGTGTCCTATAGTGACTGGCATGGAAAGGGAGAAGGTGACAACTTAGAGTCACTGAACAAAATGTCACATCTCTTAGAATGCTCAGGTTCACCCTGAAATGATGGGGTGAGGAGGGGTTGTCCGAGCATCGTCATACAACCAGAGGAAGGAGGCAGAGCAAGTTGGAGGGGCTGGACAGAGAAAATAATTTTTGCAAGGAAGTTTCTATTTACCTTTGACCTCTTGGGATGCCAACAAGAATCTATTGTTTGCCTATCGTATTTCAGTTCAGAGGAAGAGCTTAGTCTGGGGAATTCAGACCACAAGGCTCATTTAAAAATAAACCTAGACATAACCAACCAACCAACCAACCAACCAACCAACCAACCAACCAACCAACCAAAAACCTGGACAGTTGTCAACCTCATCCTCGGCTCATCCCTTCCTCTGAGCTCCCTAGACCAAACACTGGTTCTACCCCAGCCTCTCCTCTGTGGAGGGGCGCCATCAGCTACCTGGTGTTTTCCTTCAGGAGGCCTGGGGAGCACTTGATGGCATACTGGGTCCTCCAGCGCTTGTGTCTTGCCTGGAACACCTGGCTGAAGCCTCCGCTGGCTACTCGGTGCCATTCTTCCTCAAAATCATCACGGCTGAAGATGGTGAGGCCGCTCAGCTGCTGCTCCAAGGGGCCCGCTGCCATGGGGACGGGAGGCCTTCTGGCCCCGAGTGGCACCACGCACTCCTGCGCACCTCTGCACCTCGCCTTGCTCTGGAGGCAAGCTGGGTGGCTCCAGGAGCTTTTGCTTCCTGCTCTTCAGGTCTGGGAGGGTGGGAATGATGAGGTGAACTGGTCCTCCCTCCTACTCCACCTGCCAAGGTGGGGAAACCTAGCCAGCCCAGAACCTGCGGCTGCTGAAGGGAGGGAGAGAGATGGTCCTGAAAGAGGGATGGCCTCTGAGGTAGTTTTTCCTTTCTCAGTCCAGGCTAGCTCACCCTGGCAGAGCTAGGGAGGAAGCAGAGCTGTGCTTGGAGCTGGGAGTCAGAGTGCAGCAGGAGAGGCTGGCCTGGCATTGTGGCCCAGGGTTAACTGGGGGCAGGCTGCTTTGCATTTTCCTGCTACCCTTCTACAGAGAACTCAGTGTTCCTGAGAGTGGAGCCCCGAGTCCTGCTGCAAGAATGGGGTGCAGAATATGTCTTTTTTTTTTTTAAAGTCTGAATCTGACTGGCTCAGTGCTTTTCCTGTTAGTTTGCCAACTACTCTTTACATACATGAGGCCAGCAAGGAGGGTCAGCTGAGCAGGAGGACTACAGCTGGACTGCCTAGAAGGAGCAATCCTTCCTCTCTGCAGGTCATTGTCCAGAGGCAGGTGATGCCAGGGGCACTACAGCAGGCAGGTGCTATCTGCAGCAGCAGGACAGACTGACCCACAGGGAACTTCAACCAAGTTCAGGTTTGAAGAATCCACCCAGCAGAGGAGGAAATGCTTGCTTTTGTGCCCAAATCTACAGAGCCCCTCTGTGCTTGTGTTGATACCATAAATTCGCTAGACTCCTAGGAAATGGAAAGGTGAATGAGGGGGCTGGGGAATCAGTGGGAGAACAGGGGGTGTCTCAGTGGAAGCTGGGAAACTTGCTCTTTCCATAACACTTTATAAGGACTCTCTAGGATGTAAGGACCGAAGAGTGGGCCTAGTGACAGTTATCATGGGGAGTAGGCACACCACTACTACTTGAGCACTGTTAGCCTTGTTCCAGGTTCAGTAGCCATTTGCCTACTATGTGCACTTTATAGGCATTTTCTTGTTTAAACCCATGACAGTTTTATGACAGGTACACCCATTTATAGATTAGAAAACCGAGCATGAAAACAGTAAGTATTCCATTTCACATGGCCATTGCAGTAAGTAGTGATTAATGCTCTTGGTTCCTAGAGAAATGGGCTGGGTGTGCTGGTTTGTGAGGGAGCCCTTTAAGAATGTGGGAGAAAAGGGAGGGAAGTGCTCCCTGGAAGAAGGTAGAGGTGAAGAGAGTAACACCCTGCTTGGGATGTGACATCAGAGGGAAGGCCCCTGGCTGGAGCAGGGCGGGGCCATTGAAGCACCCTGCCTACATCTTCCTTTCCCAAGAGTGGAAGATTTGGAACACAAAGGCCACTGCAGTCTGAGAGAGGGAGAACAGGGGGACAGGGCGAGGTCTCTGGCTTCCTGCTGAGCGAGTGAATGAGGAGACTGGAAACTTGAACAGGCCCCTGTCCCCAGGAAGCCTCACTCTGACAGAACCGGACCCCCTTGGACATTTTGCAAGACCAACTTAGGTTTCAGAGGAAGGTACAGGGACAAACCACCGGAACCATTTCTGCAGTTATACCTGCAGTGGATCTGCAGGAAAGGCAAGAACCTGGAAGCCTTCAGTGCTGCCTTCAGAGACTCACAGCAGAACTGAGGGAAGGGTCAGCTCCTGGAGGCGGGGCCTGCCAGGGATCAAAGCAAACTGTCAGGACCTCAAATAAAACACCCCTGTGAGTTTCTCACCAAGGTGAAGGTGTGTGGACACATCCCAGCTAAGGTTTCGCTGCAGAGCCACCTGTTGAAACAGGCCAGCTGTTTAGCACCCTGGCACACGGGGCAAAATGAAAGCATTTGCCTATGGCAACTATAGTGCACTTGTTCCTCCTTTGATCTCGCTAATGGGGGTCTTTGGGTGAACTCTAGGAGAAGTGAGCCTTCCTGGGTACATGGTCACAATGGGTGAGCACTCACACACCACCCACGGGTCAGTGCACTGACCCAGCAGTTCTGTGATACTCTGGACACTGCTGAAATCCAGTGGCGACTTTCTCTAAACCAGAACGACAAGTCATTTCCACACACGGGGCAATTTCCCTATCTGTCTCCATTCTTCACACTGCAAACTTGCTGCAGAGGGCATGCTGGACACGTTCTGACAGGCTCCATCCTGAGCCTGTGTGCTGAGGGGAGGACAGTCACTGTAGAGGAATGAATGTAATCAGGAAGTGGGGTGTGTGCTCCAGAAGGAAGCAAGGAAGAGAAGAAGAGAGGGGAGGGGAGAAGAGGGGAGGAGAAAAATAGGGAGGGGAGAAGAGAGGGTCAGCCAAGCAGCAACAGCTGGTCTGTTATCTCAGCAGTTATTGGCCCTCAATCTTATTTTTTCTCAGATCTCTCTGGGTCTCTCCATCTATAAAAGAGGATGATTCTTTAATAGGAATATCCATTCACTCACGCTTTATACAAACATAAAAGTCTAATGGACTATGGACTTAGATATAAAATAGAAACACACAACCTTTAGAAAAATATTCTCTTTCCCTTTATTTCTTTGAGATGGGGTTTTACTTTGTGTTCTAGAATGACCTTGAGCTTATCATGTAATCAAGGCTTACCTTGAACTCATGATCCTCTTACCTCTGCCTCCCAAGCTAATATTAAGATTAGAGGTGTGCATCAATACACCTGGCCCTAAAAGAAAATATTCCTGGCTTAAGTTAAAGCAAAACAAAACAAAACTGTGAGACTTACTAAATGACTCTCAAAAATGAATAATTAATGAACTAAACATTATAAAAACATACTCTCTGGAAAGGACCACATGAAGGTGATAAGAATATAAAGTACACACATGGTGAAAATATTTGTGAACAGAAACCTGCATAACCATGTCCTGTGGTTCCTAGGGTATATAAAGATATCTTCAAAGTTAGTGACAAATAAGCAAAAGTCATCATACGAAGTTATCCCGTTAGAAAGTGGAGAAGAGATTCAGACTCATTTTGTTGGGGAAGATACACAAATGGCAAATAAGGACATGAGGAAACACTAAATGTTATTGGCTAATAAGCAAATGCAAATTGAAGCCACAAGGAGAGATGTCAATATATACAAAAGAGAACTATTAAAATAAACATCAAGGCCAAATGCCAGTGAGAAAATGGACCACATATACATGGCTGGTGGGGGATATAGGCCCGGCCCCTCTGCAAAACAGTGAGGCAGTCTCTGAGAAGATTAAATATATAATTACTGAGTGACCTAGCAATTGTCCTTTGGGGAAATAAATCCCAGAGAAATGAAAGCCATGTTCACATAAAAGGCAGCACTTGATTGTGAACTGTAGTTTCTTACGTAATATCCAAAATTTGCAAAATGGCAAGGCAGGTGAAAGGTTAAACATACTGAGGCAGATACACACTATGGGAGGAGTCTCAGCAACTGTTGGCAGGCACAACTTAGTCTAACACTAGGGAATTATAATGGTTTTTAAAACCAGTTTTAAGAGGCGTACACATCGCATGTCCCCATTCACAGCCTTGAAGTGACACAAGTACGGGCATGGGAAACAGGTTGGAGAGTGTCAAAAGTGGGTTGGGGAGAACTGTGGATGCAGCCGCAAATTCTTATATTCTTAGGAGGAAACTGTTCTCTGTCTTGAGCATGATGGAGGTAATCTACATGCAGCAAACTTGGCACACATCTTCGAGAAATAAAATATGACTCATTTTTAAAGATACCAAACCCACCTGAATGTGGGCTGTGCAGTCCCCATGGGCTGGGGTTCTAGACTAAATTAAAAGCAAGCAGGCTTAGTCTTGGCATTCGTCTTTCTCTGCTTCCTCCTTGCCTCACACTCCTGCTGTTAGGTCTACCCTTCAATCCGGAGCCCCAAGAAATACCTTTGCTAGGTGGCTTGCACAGCATACAAACTAACTAACAAATGCTGGTAGAAACCTGCCCAGTAAAACCACTCGAATGAGATCTTAAATAGAGACAGAGGAACACATAGAACAAAGGCCGTTCTTGTTATAAATTGGCAAAGAATTTAGCTGAATTCTGTCTGTGTCCAAGGATCTGGTGCAAGATCCAAAGTAGGAGCAATGAACTAGGAAATCTGGCAGAAAAAACTGTCTAAGCAGCAAGCATTCACGCTGCTTCATGCTGCTCATGGCCACATACGGTGATCTGTGAGAACAAAGGGATGAGCTAGAGGCAGAACTTATAATTAAAAGTAAAGCTGGGCATAAAAACCCGGAAAATGCAATCCTGCCACACAAAGAGAAAACGCATGCAAGTGAGAAGCCAAGGAACTGCTTTCTCACTGTGAGATTATGGTGGCTGGAAGGGAGCCAGGTGTGGCTCATCAGAAGCATGGGGTATGTGCGTTGTTGGGGGCGAGGGGTGGGGGGAGATCTGAAGTCATTTTAGAGATTCCCGAGGTTGTCTCTAGCACCTTGCATGCAGGAAGAGATCATTGCCCAGGGTCTGTCTGGGTTTCTGCTCCTTAAAGCTGGCATAACATCCTTTGGTTAATTCAAACATGGCTTAAGCAGGGCCTGCCCCAGGTGCCGCATGTGGCCCAGATTCTGAGGTATCTGCATGATACTGCATGCTTCAATGGCATTCATATGGTGGTGTTTCTATAGGCAAATGATGGAAGATCCATGGAGTCATGGCCCTCCTCTACCCACACCCCAAAGGATACATTCACAGACATGAAGCCATGGAAGTGAACCCCTAAGAGGACCGCAGTAAGAAATGTGACATTTGAGCTGCTGCAGGGTCCCCAGGGCAATCTGTGGAAGAGCTGTGGTGGCTAGACTACCGTGGAGACCTCAGAGCTATAGGGACAGCGGAATGGCAAGCCTGCACTGGAGAGCTGCAGTCAGGAGATTCCAACCTGAGAGGAGCCCAGAAAAATCAAACCACAGGTTTAGGACTA